TTATTTTGCTTATTTTTATATGGTGCTGGGGACTGAACCCAGGGCCTCGCACATGCTAGTCAAGCACTCTACCACTGAGCCACAACTCCAGCCCAAGGGTATGTTTCTTAGCAGTGCAAAAGGAAAAGTGATAGAAATAACTCCAAAGGTCACACATGAGTGCAGATGTGACATATAGCGATCTGTGCACTCACACATAATTTTTGTACTCTTGCCATTTTTTTTTCTGTTTCTTTGAATTCTTTTGGTAGTTTGGTAGTAGATCAATATTCACCAACTGTATAGGTATGAAGTACATAAAATTCAAATTATATAAACAAAACTGTGTCTAACTCTTTGGGGAAATAACCCAGTTGTAACTGCTCTCACTAAAGCTGTCAATGCACTTAAAAAAAATATAGTACAGATCAGCTAAAGAAATGAGAATTGCTTGATGTGATTTGATAGACAAGTACCTCGTAACACAAATAAATCCCCTATGTAATACAACACCCTGGTTAGCTTCCCATAAGCACTTCAAGGAATGAATTATAAAACAAAGAATGCCAGTCAACTAAAGTGCTGCCAGGGACCACAATGCAAAAGAAGCACACATTTCAGCATATTTTTTGTTTTATTTACTTATATCACTTAGGTGCATTCAAGTGCCTTTATGAGACATGAGCCTTTTAATAATTATATATAATAGCATGGGATATAACTCAATGCTTCCTATTTTTTTCCATGCTTGATTGACCAAGATATTTCCTTACATAGCCAAATCTTTTGATGGAAGTTTGTCTGTTATATATCAGACACTGGTCTGATCATAAAAATGCATATTTTTGATTGCAAAAATTCTCTTGATCTGATCAATACATACTGATTTGTTGCTTGTATTAAGAGATATACCCATATAGCTTCACCTCCTTGAAGTCTCTTGATTTTATAAGAACACATTTTCAAAGATAATATTTCAAATGGTAGATGTATATTATGAATTAATTATGGCTCAGTAGAGTATAGCACAATTTTTGTAGTGTGTTTAAAGATAATAAGCTGTGTTGTTCAGTGGACTCTGGAAGCACCCTTTCTGAAATTATGGGTGAGAGGAACTTTCCCTCAGGTTTGAGAGAACAATTAGGAGTCATATTTCCTTAACTTTCTGAGAAGAAATAAAGAAGGTAAGGACAACAATAGCCATTTGTGTATAGTACTTACATTGTTTCAGTAAGTATGAAAAGAAGCCTTACACATAGTATCTCATTTAAGTGTTTCTACAACTTGCATAGAATATTTAATGAATATATTTTGCTGATAAGGAAGTAAAGACTCTAAAACATTAGAGAACTTACACTAGGCCACACAGTTAGAAAGTGATTGAACTGTAGTTCAATCTCATATCTCTGTAATTCAGAAGTCCCTATTTCTTCCATGGCAGTGTACATCATAGGTCTGGAATTTATACTTTTCCCTCCTGAGGTTGGGTAAAAAAATCTCTCTCAAAATATATCCTTAAAAATGTGGCATTCCAAATGTGAGTTTATTGTTGTCCTGGGCAGTATTGTTGGAATGACCTGCCTTGTAGCATATGACCTTGCATAAGATACCTTCTCCTTCCTTACCTGTCTTTCTATTTTACCTGTTCAAACTATGCATCTTCTTAATCCAGCATTTTGTTGATATTGTAGTTTTTATTTGTGTGAATGAGGAGTTTTATTTATTCGTTAATTTTACAATAATTTATTTTTAAAGCACCTATCATATTTATCATCTGCCATGTATTAAACCTTCTTGTAGGGGAATGAATGAATGAAGAATGATTTATCAGATCCAAAGGCAGCTCTGGCCTCCCTTTTTATATACCACTTATTCCTAAAATCAGGGTGATTGATAACAGATTAATATCCAGTGTTAGCAGTTTAGCTATGATAATTCCCTTGCATTCCTGTTTTGATATCATAATTGGAGGTATTTGTGGGGGCGGGGGTAAAATATTTCCATCTGCTCTTAATTTTGTTCAATAATTCTTCCTCTTGGGAGAAGATCTGGAAAATGGCTAGTCAGCTGAGGAGTGCTGCTAAAATCAGCAAATATTTGAATGTCCAACATATGCAAGACTCTGTGCTTCTCAAAGTACAGTCTTTGTTTAATGGAGTGTAGATACCATGAGATCATGAGAAGGAAATTCACTTACATTCATTCTCTGAAACAAAAGCCAAGTAATAAAACACCAAATCAGCCTCACCTTCTGCCTTAATTAATGCCCATATTGTTCTGCGTCAGAGCTAACTTAAATCCTTGGAGCCATCTTTGACTTCCTTCTTCTGTACATGGTCAATTGCTAAGTCCCATTGATTTCTGACTCTTGTATCAGTCCAATCCTTTTTCTGCCTACTGTCAGCATTCTTCCTTATTAACTGTTTCTCAAGCCATTTTGATATTTTATTGATGGTCTCCCTGCTGCTGGTCTCTCTTTTCTAATAAGACTTAAGAGGCAGTGTGATGTAGTGGTTGAGTCTGGCTTCTGTAGCATGGATGTGTATGATCAAATCTCTAGTTCTCCAATACACAATTTGACATTTCCTAATCTTTACAATGATGGATGATAATGATGATGATGATGATGATGATGATGATGATGATGATGATGATAATTTCTCCAAGCATTATATGCTGAATCAAAACAATTAAGTTTTAATAAGCTTTTTTTTTATCACTGTGACCCAAAGAACTGACAAGAACAACATAGAGGAGGAAGAATTTACTTTGGCTCATGGTTTTAGAGCTCTGAGCCCAAGATACCATAGACTATCAAGGCATAAAAGCATGGCAGATGAAAGCAGATCAAAGTACAGCAACTAGGAAAAATAGAGCTTTGCTCACCAGGGATAAAATATAAACCCCAAAGACACATCCTCACTGACCTACCTCCTCCAACCATACTCTACCTTCCAGCTATTTCCACCTTGTTAATCCATAGCTGATTCCATTCTAGCTCTCATAATATGATCATTTCACCAATGAATATTCTTACATTATCTCACACATGAATTTTTTGGGGGACACCTAATATCCAAACCATAACAGATTTATACATGTGTCATACATGTGTAGAAGAATGCCTGTAATAAAGTACTCAATAAATGTTAATTGTCATTACTATTGTTACTATTCTTAGTATAGTTTTGGTCATGTTATTGCAGTAGGAGCTACTATTAAAAAAATGAAGATCAAATTCATAATCTGAACTTGTAGGGCAAGGATTTAAATACAAAGCCCAGTAAGGATAATAACATAAATGAAGACATATGGTATTAAAACATAAACAAGACTAAACGTTTCTGCACATCTAAGTAAGGCTTATGTTTCTTGTTGATCTGGGAACGAAGGCACATTGGTGAACTGAATCCCTACTAAACATGGTCAGGAGAACACTTCCATGGTGATGAGCAGCTGGTCAAGTATATACATGGCTTTTTCAGCCATCAAGGAGACTAGCTAACTATTCCCTAAACATATAAAATGATAGAAAACATGCTTTTTTTTTCTAGTAATGACCATTTACTAGTGAAAGGAAAATAAAAGTAAAGTGGAAATAGATTTGGAAACAGTGGTAGAGTCAGATATGAAGGGAAAAATACATATTGAATCTCAGATTCCTATATAAAATAATTTGAACATTAACAGATACATAGCCTTTGATGTGATTAGTTTCCAATTTCTTGGCCTTTATATGAGATCTTCAAATACTTTGGTCCATATTTCTGCACCTATTTGTAAAGCTCATATATGCCTAACCCATAAACTTTTTCTTATACTATTCTCTCTCTCTACCTATTTCTCTTGACTTTAGTTCTAAGTGTTTGTATGGGCATATGCATACACACACACATATATACACATGCATATGTATATATGTGTTCATTTATTTTCCCTCTATAGTGAAGCTTTCATTAAACACTATAGTCTACCCACCAGCTCATTTGCTGGTTTTGAAGGTACTTTACAGTTTAAAGACTTTCATTTATCTTGTCTAAGCATTTTCAGATTATTTCATGTGCTTAAGCTGTGCTCACAATTTGTATTTAAGAAAATAAGCTATAACTATAAAACAAATATAATTAGGATGGTTAATAATTTCTGTTCATTGTGTGTATGTAGATAAATATTTATATGGTGTCTACTCTCCACCAACCTCTCTTCCAGAATTTGTTTATAATAAAAACTAGTGAAATAATTTGGAGCTATAGCAAGTTAAAAATTAAAAATAATTATTTACGTAGAAGCTATGCCATAGGTAACTTAGAATGTGCACCAATAATCTTAAACAATTAATTAAAACTAAAGTTAAACTCTTTTGAAGAAAGAACATAGAATTCTTAAAGAATTTACTTGAAAGTAAGTTCATGTGATTTTATCATAACCTAATTATTTAGCATCAACATCTGTCACATAGATGAAATTCCTTAGAACATATATATAAATATTTAATGTATTTTATGAATAGAAATCTTACATTTAAAATTATTAAATGCTCAATCAGAGCTGAGTGTCTGATTTCAAACTGCATAGTAATAGGTAATTTCTTAGGAAATGTTTCACTAATATTTTCTGTCATCATGTATACCTATTATCTGTGGCCCAACTATTCACTCAATTCAATTTCCTATTTATAAATGTCCCTAGTTCACTTGAGGTATATATTTGGGCAGCTTGAATTCTATAGATAGCTTATCATTATGCAATTGTCATATAGCAACTATTCAGCTTCAATAATAATTTATTAATGCTATCAGAATGATTTATTTTTAAAAGATGAATAAGAAACTGTTATTGAAACTTTGTGACAATTTTCCTTTGGAATGTTTAAAGCAAACAGAAATAATATTTTTGAATACCCAGGGACAATTTGCTTTAATGTAGGCATTTACAATATTGTCTATGAAATTTTCCCCACTAAAGAGATAAAATAACAGCCTTTCAATGTATATTCTCATAGAGTATTCCTTATCTTACAGATGAGCTCAGTGAAAATGTTACGGCCTCGTCTCAATAGCATTCTTTTCAAGCTCACATTTGAAGAACACGTAAACAACATCAAACCAAGCATCATAGCTGTAACTCTTGCTTGTGAAGAAGTGAAGAAAAGTGAAAGCTTTAATAGACTTTTAGAGTTAGTTCTTTTGGTTGGAAACTACATGAACTCAGGGTCAAGAAATGCCCAGTCTTTGGGATTTAAGATCAACTTCCTTTGTAAGGTAAGATGACATTTTACCATGCTAATTTATAATAATAATCTTGTAGATATGAAGGTTAATCTAAATGTAAATACCGAATATCTGCAAAGTTATATGCATTGAGAGTGAAATTTATGGTATGCAAATTCTATCTCAATGAAAACAAACAACTTTTTAAAAATATTATTGCTATAAAATCCAAAAGATTGAATTCTTTGGTAGTACAGTACTTAATTCTTGCTGATTAAATTTTGCTGAAGTATATAGACACAAAAAAATGCTGTTATAATGCTTGTGTTCCAATCTATTTGTACTTATTTTATGTCTCTCTAAAAAGTATGTAAGAAACTAAATTTAATGAGGAAAATGGCCAGAAATTTCTTCTTGAATATGCTTCACTGTTTCTACTTTTAAGAAAATATCACTATATTTGAAGACTGTTGTATTACTGGGTTTACACTGGTTTTTATGTGCATTACCTTCAAAGGTTAAAAAAAAATCAAGTGATAGTCGTCTTCACTATTTTGATTGGGCCATTTCATAATATTATTTTTCAGACTGAATTTTTGTGAAAAGTAAACAAAGAAACAGAGAAGCCCAAAAGTAATTGCCTGTGTCTATTTTGAGGCTGGGGCAAAGCACCTTGTTCAAGAAAAAGATCTGTCTGTTACAGAGAGAAAACTGAACTGACTCAGGGGTGAAGGCCTAGAAGAAAGCTAGAGATGAAAATAAATCTGAAAACAAGCAATCTATCTTTGACATCTCACCAGTTTTCACTTTTTTTCCTTCTCACATCCGAAAACATTGCAGAATTTTGGTTAGTTCCTGAAGTACATTATGACAAGAATCCCTAGGAATGAATATGAATTTCTTTTGTGTTCATACATTAAGTAGATTTGTATTACATATCAATAGAATGATATTTTAATATCTGTCAATAAAGATTTGATCCTGATAATTCTAACTCAGACATAAAGATGAACATGTATAGATAATTAGATATATAATGAAATTTTATCTGTTTACTCCTCATACATTTATAAATGGTATACGAAAAAAAATAGAGATTATTTGCAAATTCCAATTTTTGTTTTAAAAAAATATATCTTCTTCTTGTGATAGTTGAGGGCATGCAGAATTATTTGATAATACCAGTGGAGGAATAAGGCAGTGTTCATAATAAATTAGAGTAAATCATAGCTGGATTTGAGGTAAAACTATTTTTAGCACTTTCTCATTATATCTTGCTGCCATATTGCCTGATACTAATGAAGTCATATCTTACCAAGATACAACTTGGTTACAGTATATTTCAAATGCACAGTGAGTGAATTCAAAATGATCTTTGGTGATGCCTATAAAAATAACATATGTTATCATGAAAGATTTATATTAGATGTCTATTTCACATTTAATTCACATAAAATACCTTGAACTATTCTAATATGAACAAATACATTCCTTTATTTTCAACTGTTTTGATTTTACTGTATTCAAATTAATTACATGGACTTATTTCTTTGAAGCAAGAATGTATAAGTCCTTTATGCATAGGAACAAAAGATTACATTAATCTCAAGAAAGGTTTTATAGTTACAGCTTATATTTGGGAGAAAGGCTTCTTCCTGTCATCAACCTGTCAAATAAAAGTTCTTCCACACAATGCTGATCTGACATCTATCACTAGAGGTATGCTCAAAGGATTCAGCACAAAGATTTTTGCCAACTTCAAATAAAATATGAAAATAATCTTGTGGGAAATACTATCATGTAGTAATAGATGTTCTAAAAGATAAAGAAGTGAAGGATTTAAAGTATTTCCCCTCCCACTTTTCAGTAGAATTTTTATCTTCTGGTAAATAATCATAGGGAAATAGTTGTCATTAATAAAGCAAAATGTCATATACAAAAATGATATTCCCATAATTTATACAATTAAAATCATATTCCTAGAATATAAAGGATTCTGCATAGATATAGATATCTAAAAATGACAAAAAAATTACTGAAGTACATAGAAAGAGCTTAGGTCTATAATCTGTACAAAATGGAATTAACTACAAATTTATTATTGGCTAGAATTGCTGCTAAATTTCATTTATGTCATGAATGGTTACTTGGTTGATTTTTCTTTTTTGATTTTTTTTTATTTATAAAATAGCGGGGAGAATTCCCTGTGTAGTGTTTACTCACCTAAATTTTTCTTATATGTTAATTTCCTTTCTCAGTGATTTTTAAATGTAATCAACTGCATTTTACTAGAAGCCAAAATATACATTAAAATATTTTCCTAGTTAAAAAGGAGTCCTGATATAAACAGTTAAACTTATCAGATATGTCTTAAGAGTAAGGTAATATAAAAAATTCAGATGGTCACAATTGGCTGCTATGATATTTGGGAAGAAAAGGAAAACAAATGGGTTAACCAAAATGTCAAATAACACTTAAAGTATATCATTACTCTAAGTACCACCCTCACCACAAAATGCTTTGTTAATTTCAGCAGTGAATTATCACTTTGTGAGTTACCAAACAAGTGTGTTGAATTGTAATAAAAATCATTTCAATGGAGATGAGTTCTACATGTTAGCTTGCCTTTTACTTGCCTGTTGGTTATTAAAATTCTAACCAATAGCAAAGCTGTACTTCAGAGACATTTATTATTTTTGTTTTCAAGATTTAATAGCATATACAATCTGTATAAGAACAAAGCATTTAAAAATACTGAGCACTCCCTAAGTGCTAAGCTTTGTAGGTATTTTATATAAGGATCTTTGCATACAACAGAAAGTGACTCTGCTGGATTCAAGGTAAACATAGAATTTGATGGAAGAATATGAGGTAGCTCAGCTAGAAATTGGGGTAAAGCTGAAGAAGTTGGCCTTTAAAAAGAATACCAATTGTGGCAGCCTAGAGAATTCAGGTAGCAGTAATGAAGGAAAATCTTTTAAGAATGTTCCCTTTGGGAGGTAAGAACCCCAGCCATTTTCTTTTCCTTTCCCTGATTATTTATATTGTAATTAAGCTGTAACTAACCTAGAATGCTTGTCCAAGGGGAGAGCAAAGAACCTTGAGTAACAGTGCTATCAAGACTACCTGTAATGGCAGACAGATCTTGACCTACAGAATACTCTAGCCAAAGATAGGGATACCAAATTTGAAGGGGTATCAGGCAGGCACAAACACACAAAGAAAAAACAAAACTGATGGGTTTGTGTACCAGGAGCATGCAAACAGTTAAATGATATACATAGAAAATATCATGTGACATCACAAGGCACACTGTCAATAACTGCAAAAATTAATGACCACTCAGATTAGGAGTTCAGAGGAATGATATTAGAAAATTGAGATAGAAAGATCTTGAAGAGTAGAAAGTATTAGGGTAAAAGAAGAAAAGCCATGGCTCTACCCAAGAGGAAAGTGCCACGTGCTTAGAAACTAAGCACATTTTAGTTACTACTTTGGCAATTATCAGCCAAACATTCATGGCTAAGGCTATTCCCCACTCTGACTCTCAGTTTCTTCATCTGCACATGAGGAAATTCACTGACCCCTGTTTATTTTCATGTGGTTGTTTTCAGGTCAAATAAAATGAATTTATGATAGAATACATTGAGAAATTATAATGTAAACAAATGCTTGTTCTTTTTAATGATGATACACAACTAGGAGTAATCATGATATATGAGAATGAATTAGAAAACCATACTGCCTGGAATATTGGGTTTATGTTGGAAACAAGTAATAACATGGTAGGCAATTGTAAAATTTTTAGTCTTTTGTATACTAATTTGGATATCTTGGCTATTTTGAGGAAAATCACAGCTCACTTAATAACTTTAAAATGCTAAAAATCTTTGTTTAGTATACTGTTCAGAGACTTCTGAAACTCTTTCACTAGTATTGTGACTTTCTAGGCATTCTGCTAAGCAAAACACAAAAATTATGATACAGCACAATGGTATGTTTACATACAAATGTGAAATATATCATTGAAGAACTCCAAAGAAAACATGTATGTTCACTATGGAGAAAGTTTTAGATATGTTTAAGTTATTAGGATTAACATGATAATGTAATTGCGCTGTATTTCTAATATTCACCATTTACATAGATTGTGAAAGTAAAGGCTCTATAACCTGAAGGCCGTCTCATGGTATTAGTGACAGTATTATAGGCATCACCCAAAATATATAAAGACACATCCATTACTTCTCTATAGAACTTATAAGAGGGGGAAGTAAAATAAGTTTACCTCCTTTGTGATATGGAAGATTAATTACCAGAAAAAAAATAATTTGTAAAGAAAAATAGCCAGGTGCAGTGATGCATGCCTGTAATCCCAGTGGTTCAGGAGGGTGAGGCAGGTGGATCTCAAGTTCAATGCCAGCCTCAGGAATTTAGTGAAGCGCTAAGCAACTTAATGAGACTCTGTCTTTAAATAAAATACAAAAAAGGGTTGAAGATGTGTCTCGGTAGTTAAGCACCCCTGGGTTCAATCCATGGTACCCTCCCTAAAAATAAACAAAAATGACTCCTGTCTATAGCAGTAAAATTTGTAAATATATAATCCAAGAGAAAATCTATAAAAACCTAAGAAAAAAATCTCATATACTTCAAAAATTTTACATTGTCTAATTTAGCTGAAATGATGTGGATTCTGTCCATACAAACTTAGAATTTAGCATAAGAAGATATCTAGTCTAGCCTCTCCAGTCTACAGTAAGAAGACTTATGGTCAAAAGGGGAAAGTACTTTGGTTAATGTTTTAGTCATCTTAGGCTGCCATAATAGAAATACCATAGGGCAGATGGCTTATACAATAGAAATTTGTTTTATCAAAGTTTTGGAGATGTGAGGTCCAAGATCAAGGTGGTTTCTGGTGAAGCTTCCCTCCTCTGGTTGCACCACTTTCTTGCTGTGTCCTCACTTAGGACTTATTATAACTTAACTCTTATTTTTCGATCTCCTTCTCAAGATTCAGAACTCATGAAATTTGGGTGGATACTTCATTCTAC